CGTGGGTGTGGGGAGGGGGGGGTGGGTGGGGGGGGGAAATGGGGAGTTATAGGGTGGACTTGGGGGAAATGAAGGGTTTATTGGGTGTATGTGGGGGGAAAAGGGGTATTTTAGAGGCAGATTTGGGAGAAATAGGGAGTTATAGAAGTGGATTTAGGGGAAATGAAGGGTTGAAGGGTGTTTTTGGAGGCAAATGGGATGTTTTGGAAATGGATTTGGGAGAAATGAGAGGTGACAAAGTGGATTTGGGGATAAAGGGGGCATTACAGAAGTGGACTTGGGGAAATGAGGGGTTATTGGGTGTATTTGGGGGGAAACAGAGCATGTTAGAGGTGGATTTGGGGGAAATGAGAGGTTAAAAGGTGGCTTTGGGGGGAAATGGAGGGTTACAGGGGTGGGCTTGGTGGAAACAGGGGGTCATTGGGTGGATACAGCGGGAATTGAGGTGATATAGAGGTGGATTTGGGGAAAATGAGGGGTTATGAGCTGGATTTGGGGGGAAAATGGGGCGTTTTAGAAGCGGATTTGGGGAAATGGCGGGGTTCCTGCGTGTATTTTGGGAGACCGGGGCATTACAGGGGTGGATTTGGGGGGTATTAAGAGGTTACTGGGTATGTTTAGGTGAAATGGTGTGTTTTAGTGCTGGATTTGGGGGAAAACAGGGCATTAGAGAGGTGGATTTGGGGGAAATGAGGGTGAAGGGGTGTATCTGGGGGGAAACGAGGGGTCGTAGAGATGGATGTGGGGGAGATGAGGGGTTACAGAGGTGGATTTTGGGGTAAGGGGGGTGTTATAGGGATGGATGTGGGGGAAAACGAGGTGTTAGAGAGGCGGATTCGGGACCAAAAAGCCCCAGATTGGGGCACACATACCTGGCCCCCCCATGGCTCCGTGCTCCATCTCCATCCCCTCCGGGGGGGGTCCATAGAATCCATCATAGTATCCCTGGGGGGGGCCGGCGCCGGGGGGCAGGAGGGCACCGTGGGGGGACCCCTCAGGGCTGTAGGGCATCATGGGGGGGCCCGGCCCCATGGGCATGTCGGGATGCATGTCAGGATGCATGTCGGGGTGCATATCAGGATGCATGTCAGGGTGCATGTCAGGATGCATGTCGGGATGCATATCGGGGTGTATGTCGGGATGCATGTCGGGATGCATGTCAGGGTGCATGTCAGGGTGCATATCGGGGTGCATGGGGCCGCCCATGGGGCCTGGGGGTCCCCCAGGACCAGGGAAGCGGGGTGGGGGGGGCCCTGGGTGCCTGCAGGAGGAGAAAATGCGGCTTAGAGAGGAGTACTGACCCCCAAATCCCCAATTTCCACCCCCAAATCTGCAATTCTCAGCCTCACATCCCCATTCTTCAACTGTAAATCCTCATTTTTCAGCCCTAAATCTCCCCCTTTCAGCCCCAAATCTCCCCTTTTCAGCCTCAAATCCCCATTTTCCCACCCCTGGGTGCCTTCAAGAGAAGATGTATGCGTCTGGAATGCATCAACACCCCTAAAATCCTCCTTTTCCCCCCCAAATCCCCCGGGTCCCATCCAAACCTCCATTTTCCCACCCCAAACCCCCATCCTTCCACTTCAGACCCCATTTTTCCACCCCAAATCCCTATTTCCTCCCACTCAAGTCCCCATTTTTTCCAACCAAAACCCCCGTTTCCCCCCTCCAGACCCTCCATCTCCCCCCCCCAAACTCTCACTTTCCTCCCCATCCTCCCATTATTCCTTCCCAGATGCCGATTTCTCCCCTTAGACCCCCACTTTTCCCCCCAGATCCCCATTCCCCCCCCCTAAACCCGAAACTCCCATCTCCCCCTCCGAAACCCCCAAGCAGGGATGGAGGGGGCACCTACCTGACCCCCAGTTTCTCAGCCAGCTGCCCCGTGGGCCGCACCACGATCTCAAAGAGAGACGGGATCTTCTTGTACATCTCCTGCTGCTGGGGGGACAGAGGCTCGTGCATCGGGGGGGGCATCTGCGGCCCCGGAGGGGGCATGGGGGGCACGGGGGGACCTCCAGGCATGGCTCTTCCATTGGGGGAAGGGGGAGCGGGGGGTCTGGGGGGTGGGGGGAGCAGCCCCACGCCGGGGGGAGGTTTGGGCAGCGGGTTGATGCCTTGTTTCTTCAGCTCCTCCACTTCTTTCTCATCCTCGGCGCCCGCTTCCGCATCGTCTTGGAGCATCTGCAAAAGGAAAGAACGAGGGTTTGGGGGGCAAAAAAGGAGGATTGGGGGAAAATGAGGGTGGTGGTTTTTGGAGGGGGGTGGTTGGGTACCTTGTCCAGCAGCTCTCGTGTCTCCTCGGTCAGCGGCGCGTGGGAGAACATGCAGTCATCGCCGTTGATGCAGTTGCCCGTGGTGTGGAAGAGCTTGCAGGGGAAGTCACGTGGGCTCGTTAAGGAGAAGATCATTAGGGAGAGGATAATGAGGAGGGAGCCTCAGTGAGTGGGATTTGGGTGTAGGGAGCCTCAGTGAGTGGGATTTGGGTGTGCAGATCTGGCTAGAATCACTCCCCAAACTCCGTTCCGTTCCACTGGCAGCATACAAACCTCATTTCTCATGTTCAAGTTCAAAACGTGGGGTTGTTGGTGCCTACTGTGCCAAAATCGGGGCAGAAATACCCCAAACTGGGCCAAAATTTGGCTTGAATTCCCCCAAGCCTCCTTTGGATCATTTTTTTGGCCCTCCTCCTCCCTTTTTTTGCCCTCCTTTTGCTTTTTTTTTCCCCTCTTTTGGCCTTTTTTTGCCTCCTTCTGCCTTTTTCGCCCTCCTTCTGGCTGTTCCTTTTGGCTTTCGGGCGCCTCCTTTGCTGTCCTGCCCTCTTTCTGCCCCCATTGCCAAGGATATCATGCATGTAGGGGCAGTTCTCTGCCCTTGCACAGTACCCAGTGATGTAGAACTTGCAGAGTTCTCTCTTTTTGGGCAGCTCAATGTCGTGGCTGAAGTTGCAGTGCTCACCCTGGAGGAGGGAAGGGGGGAACATTGGGAAAAGAGCTCAAAAATTCACCCCCAATAAAGCCCTCAGGCATTGGAAGGTGGGATATGGGGGAAGGGAGGAGGGTAAAGCAGTGGATTTGAGGGAAGTTGGGTGTTCCAGTGCTGGATTGGGGGGAGATTTGGTGTGATAGTGGTGGATTTGGTGAAAATCATCTTGGTGCTGTGGATGTGGGGAAAGTGAAGCATCAGAAAGGTGTATTTGGGAGAAACTGGGTATTTTAGAGGTGGATTTGGGGAGGAAATGAAGGGTTATAGAGAAGGAGTTGGGGGAAACGAGGAGTTAAAGGGTAGACTGAGGGGAAATGGGGCATTTCAGAGGTGGACTTGGGGGAAGTGAGGGGTTATTGGGTGGATTTGGGGTAAGGAAAGGATTGCAGCAGAGAATTTGGGGAAAATCAGGTGTTATAGAGGTGGATTTGGGGGGAAATTGGGTGCTATGGAAGAGGATTTGGGGCAAATGTGCTACAGAGGTGGATCTGGGG